TGAAAAAAAAAAAAAGAATTTTATCATTTAATTTTTTTTTATGAGCATAATTTGACTTAAAAAAAGGATGTGAGCTGATTTTGATGAGTGAAATTTGAGTTAATTTGAATTTGCGTGGTTGGTCGATGCACCGGGGCATTTTAAAATATATGTAAATAATAATAATATATTTATTGATATTATACTTTAAGAAAATTAATAAAAAATGTTTTGAAAAAGATATTTAAAATTAAATTTATCAAATTTTTTAGTAATTTTCATTCGTTTTACTGTATTGTTGTCATAATTTTCTTAATTTGATTTGATCGGATGATGACACTTCGAAAATAATGCATAGCCAGGCAGCAAAGTCTCATCAACAACGAAACAATGCTGGTTTAACAACGATGATTGAGTATCAAAGGCATGATAGTATTGGCTGGGAAATAATTCAACAACGGATAGAAAGGGGGCATGAAAGTTATTTAATATATATGACTACTTTTGCATTTTGCTTCTTGAAAAAGTTTACATCATATAATTATAATCCCAAGAAAATTAGAAGATGCGATCACTCCTTAATCGTCAATGTTGACTCCCTTTGGAGCAGTGAATCATGCAAAATCTCATGAGATTTGGTATGACTCTATCAACACCAATGCACCAAATTCTATGAGAACTATATAATTAGGCATGCTTAGACTAGGGTTATCATAGAATGGATGACCACCTGGAAAATATTCATGTTGCACGCCTTTTCAATCACTTGTTGGGCCTTCGCCGTTTAATTGTTGTCATTGGACCACTATCTGACCATCACCATCGAACCTTTGCTGCTCAAATGTGATTATGTGTGCACCATTTGATCTTCTTATCGAACCACCACCCAATTGTCATAGTTGAACCTATGTTGGACCATTACCAATCATTATCGTTGGATCTTCACCACTCGACCATTATCATCAAATTGCATTTAGTTGACCAAAGTAATCTGACCGCTACCATCATCGATTGACTAACATCATCAAACCACCAACATTGAACCACTGTTGCCGACGAACATCATTAAGATCATTTTCACTTGGCCACGACTTTCTGAACACCTTTCACCCCATACTAATTTTGTGCTAATTTGTGGAAGCTCACGTATTTTTGTAATCTTATTGTCTCCAAATTATGGAATGGACAATCCCTTAGATCAAAACTCGCATAATGATTTTAGGAGGGCAAAGCCCCATAGTTTTTTTCCTATAAGATTTTCTAAATAAAAATGTTGGTGCAACTCTTCCTTTTTTCATCTATCAGCTCGTGCTCAATATCCTTGTGTAAAGCTAGGATACAAAATTCATTCACTCTATAGCGACAAATTATGTAATCCGCAACAATACTATTAGTATAACAAGAAGACTTGTAATATGAAAGAATTAGTGATCTACAGTTAAAATAGAATCCTTTCTTTAATATCCTAAATTCAAATCATATATTTTATGATTTATCTTTCATCATTCCCCCACAAATTTTTTATTTCTATTTGAACTTATGAGTCATATCTTTTATCCATGATTCAAGAAGTCTTAATCAAATAAATATCAATTTTTTACAAATAAAAATTTAATTATAAATTAGAAGTGCTCTTTGGATGCCATATGTATTGTTTATTTTAAGAGGCTCAATTTTATTTGATTACAGCTGTGGAATTCAAACCAAAACATATAACCAACCTTCATAATTTATATGATGGTGATCAAGGAGATGCTTGTCATTTAGGGTTCTTCTTCTTTTCTCTTTTATTTTTTACATTTGTAGGGCATGATGGAGACAGGGTATCCAAGCAAATATGATGTGACACTTCAACATTTAATAACATTTTTATTAACTAAAAACAAAATCTCAAAGTTTCTATCAACCTTGAACTTTCTTTTTAAGTTCAAACCAGCCCATTGAGGTGCAAATTGTTTAAATCTTGAGATAGTTAATGGTTCATAGTAAAACATAAATGTGTAAAATATGCATTATTAGAATTTTATTTTATAGTCAAATATTTTTTACAATTAAAAGCATAATTTTATCAAATATCACAGCAAAAAGTATATTTTTGCTATAGTATGTGTTGCCTTTTGTGGCAGTTTACTACAGAAATATATATTTTTGCCATCGGTTGTGTCGTTTTTTGCGGCGGTCTAAATCGTCGCAAAGAGCTTATAATATTGTTTTCATTGCTATTCATCGGAAAGATTTTTTGGTACCAGTATTTCAATTGTTGGGGAAGGTTTAACAAAGTGCAAGATTTCAAGATAGTTTAAAACACTGCTAATTTAGATCGATTGTTGTGATTAAATTGTCGAAATCCTACAGTGAATAAAACAACTACATTGGTGCATGAAGCATGCATTATAGTGCTTAAACTATCGTAATTCTCAAAATTTGATGAATTGCACATATTTTAATCATAAGTGGACTTATTTTAACCATTGATACATCACACAAAATCACCTTGATCTGGCACAAATCTTGATGCATATATGAATTAGAAACTTCCAAAATTAAATTGTGACCATCAAAATTTTTATTTTAGCAAACTTATACTCAAACTGAATGTTTTAATGAGACTAACCCAAAGACACTAAAACTGGTCTAATTCGAGCCCAAATGGGCTCAAATCAAGGATTAAAGCATATTTAGAAGCTCTGAAGCATTAATTGGATGACAAATGATATCCAAATATGGCATGCTTATAGTTGAATCAAATAGCTCGATGAGATTAATCCAACGAGCTCAAGATCATTTAATTCTAACATCATTAAGGATCTTAAATACTAAAGATCAAATGCTCCAAAATCGAGGGAATCTGTATTAACCGTTTGATGGAGCACTCCAAATTTAGCATGGATCATCTCCATATTTACAGGGCATTTCACTCCTAAAAAATATAAATAGACCATCTCTTCCCACATGAAAGGAGCTTTGACTTTTGGAGGCTTAGGCCTTGGAATAGAAACTTAAGAGAGCTCTGAGACATGAAGCATCTCAAAGCTTTTATTAAACATTTTCATAAAATTTAAAAGCAGATAAATGTAGTTTAAGAAATCATTGTGTAGTAATAAGAGCATAATATTTATATAAAGATTCAACTAATACTACTAAACAGTCTAATAAATTAAATTGTATATAATAAAATAACACAAAATAGTTTATATCAATTTTCTCTTTTCCCTAATTTAGATAAAATCTCAAAGGATTCTAGCCCCTTATGACTCTCTTCTGTGCTTATAGCACTAGAACATGGCTTATAACCACTAGAACATATATATCTTATAGGAACCATAACATAACTTATAGCTACCAAAATATGCCTTATAAGCATCAAATTTTTGAATCCAAATAAAATATATAAGGATTATGGCCCCATAAATTGCCTAACAACCATAATTGAATCACATAAGCACTTATTTCATCACATTATAATAATTAAAGCATAATTGAACACATGTCAGAATTGAACACTTTTCTATAAAAGTGGTCAAAAGAAATTCTTACTAAATACAATTTTATAATTTTAAAATATAATTAAATTGTCAAGAATTATATAAAATACTATTTTAAGACTTTAATTGTACTAAAATATTATTTTCAAATTCAATATAATTTTCTATTCAAGAAAAATCGCACAATTTTAAAAATACTAGGTATAAAATTTTCAAAAAATACTCAAAATATTTATAATCTCGATCTCTATAATATATAAAATTTTATGCTGCAAAAGTTTTTATACTATAAAGTTATCCTCATTTTTTGTAATAGAAATAAATATTTAATTAAAAAATTCAAAAAAATCTTTGTATTTTTTAAAACTAAGATAGGTATAATGTGATTTACCTCTATCAAAATAATTTTTCCAACTAGACTGATGGCTAAAAATGGTCTCAAGCGTCTCAAAATCCCACTTTTCCCTTCCAAATCCCTTTTCTTCTCTCTACTGCTTTAGCTAAATGGGATGCTCGAATGAAAATTTTTTATTTAAAATGCAGTTAGTGGCCGAGTGCTTCGATGCTAGTCATCAGGGGCGGAACCAGCCATAATTTTCAGGGGGGGGCAAATTCACATAGATGTCAGGGGTCCAAGGGGGCAGCGCTCCCTCCTGGCGGGGTTCGACCTGACCAGTCGAGTTGCAGGGTCAAGGGGCAGCGCCCCTGAGAAGGTTTCCAGGGGCAGCGCCCCCGGAACAATTTTTGATTTATTATTTCTCTTTGTATTCGATTCATCATTCCCTAACAATAATACATCTACACAATGAATTTAATTATATTGGGGACAATTGCCTAAAGACCACATTATTTAACATTTTTAGGGGGGGCAATTTGCTTAAAGCCCTTGTAATAAATACTAAAAATAATCTAAATAAGAGCATAAATTTTTTTTTTTTTTTTAGTGGGGGCAATTGCCCACCTACCCATAGTGGGGTTCCGCCCCTACTAGTCATGTTCTAAAAAACTTGATATTATAGGGTTGCAATGTTATTATTTGGCGTCCAGTACTATAACAGTACTGAGGTGCTTGGACACTCAATGCTTATGCTCTCAAATAGTAATATTTATTTTAGATTTTATCAAAATTCACTTCAAATCTTTGTGATTCATTCTAGAACACATACAACAAAGCCCTACATGGGGTCCTGGTTGGGTACCCATGCTTTACTCGGACGGGCTTCGCCCACCCATGGTGACTTTCAGAATGCCATACCCACCTATACCCACCCACTTTCTATATTTTTTGAATGCAGTTTGCCAAAGATTAATGGGGTTGAGGCTTGTTTTCCTTTACTCTTATTGCAAACTTTTAAGATGCATATCATAATTTATCGTAGTCGTAATGTGGTTAAGTGCTGCATACTATATAGTGATGATTGCAATAATATAAGATATACGATGATTAACAATGTAAATCGATTTTATCTCCTGATGTTGAGTACTCACCCATACCCACCCACAAGGCCATGGGTATAGGTGGGTACTTGGGTGGCTGTGGGTATGAGTACCCAATGCAGGGCTCTGACATACAATCATTTTCAAGTAGTAAAACACTTCCAAACAAATACAAATATGTTCAAAACTCAAAAGTTCAAAAAAAAAAAAAAATTTTCCAATCTAGTTAGAACCTGTCAAATCCAGATGCTGAACTTGAAGAAGCCACACCCGGCACCACCGCCACTGAACCCTCACCACGATGTCGACGCTATTGTACCTTTGTCAGATCATCGACATTAGACATTCGTTCGATAGACATCGACTATCATCGCCCGATGATTATGATCCCTCCAACCACCGTCGTCTGTCGATTATGGTCCCTCCGACCATTGTCACTCGTTGACTACAATTCCTTTGACCTACATTCCCCTAGCTTGGACTTCGGTCCCCTCGACCATCGCCTAACTTTGATCTTTTGACCACTATCACCTAATAATAGTTATATGATTGTTGTCGTCCTACTACAGTTTCGTGACCATCGTCACTTTACTTCGATCCTTTAATCATGATTGCTCAACTACTATTGTCTCCTAATCATTATCAACTTGCTATAGTCTTGTGACCATTATCGCTAGACTATATTGCTGCTTGCTAAATTTCTCACCGGTTATCATCAATAGCAATATATTGACGCATGTCTTTTATAAGGTCGATGCTCATCATCAGCACTATCTCTAACTCTCATTGGTTAAATGAAATGGCCAACGATTCCATATCACTATTTTTCCAGGTCATATAAATGGGTCTGTAACTAAATTTTACTCAATTTTAAAATGAATGTAATAATAGCATCTATTTAAATTTAATCATAAAATAAATTATTAAATGTTTTATATGTCTATATCTATTTAATTCTAGCAGATGGTAAATTATTTTTTAATTTGTTTATATATTGGTATTTCATGACTAAATGTTATGGACCCTATTTTTGTTTCCCACCATAAGTTAAATATTTTGTCTATGCAAATAAGCAATAGTATAACTTTAAACTAGAGAATCAAATCAAATTGACCCATTCATTAAATCCTGATCTAATTCTTGTCAGATATGCTTTCAAAAATGGTGGAATCTTATTTTTTCATGCAAATATGGTTAAACTTTGTATTAATTTTTATAACATAAATAATATATATTGCCTTCTGTCATAATTTTTATAAAAATATGATTTTTTTTAAATGAAGCTTAAAAAAAGCAATTTATAATTATTCTATAGGCAAGCTAGCTTGTAAAATGAAGAAGACAGTTCATAGTTTACCCAGCAGGTTTCCTTGGCCTGCTATCCACCAAGCAGCCTGATCGAACTAGAGCTCAATTAGGAGCTAATTAAGGAGGCAATTTTGTTTGGTAAGGTCAGGTATAGCTCTTTTACCAGTAATCTTTTACGCGGAACTCTCTGCGATTAGACTTCTTTTTCAATGTCGTCTCCTCTTCTTCTCCTCACAAGCAAAATCTTAGTCACTCTCCTCCTCTTTTTCTTCCATATATATATTTTTAATCGTTCTGCTAAAATAATCCTAAGGCCAATCTAATTAATCCGGTTCAAATAGGGGAGCAAATGAGTCGAGTTGAGCTCGAGTCAGGGGGTGTTTGAGTCGATCTCGACTATCAAATACCAAGCTTGAGCTTGAACTCAAAATCTGACTCGAGCTCGACTCGTCTTCATGTCGAGCGGCTCGTCGAGCTCCACTGTAGAGAATCGAGATCCATCGAGATTGTCGTCGTCGCGTCTGCCATCGAGATCGTCGTACCGAGCGGTCTGAGCGTAATCGTTGTCGTCTCGAGGTTCGTCGGTTGTCGTCTTCTCTGTCGAGAACCTTCTCTCGTCGTCACGTATGCCAATGAGATCCATCATCCCGAGCTCGTCCCGTTGCGTCTGCCGTCGAGATCGTAGTCCCGTGCGTAAATTTTCTGCTCGGTAGTGCTTCGTCGTTTAGTAATTTGGATTTCCCGCTCGCGAGCTCCATCAATTTGTATTTCCCGCCCGCGATCTTCGGCGTCAAGCTGCTCGACGAGCTAACGAGTCGAACATCAAGTTGTTCGAACTCGAGTTCGATAAGCCGTCGAGTTCGAAATCGTGTTCGAGATCGACTCACGAGCTCGATTTGTCGTGCCTGTTACTGAGTCGAGTCCAAACCAATTCATGAGTCGGCTTGACTCGTTTGTACCCCTATGTTCAAATGCTCAGAGAGGATATATATTATTCTTGTCACGATAAACATTAATGTTCAACTTGAAATGTAAAACATGTTGCATGCGTATGGAAATCTCCCAGCTGGGAAATAATCATGACGACAACGACCGTTTAGCTTTCTTCTAACCCTTAGATTTCTTTCTTGAATGGGCATACAGTCAACACGTTGTTCCTTTCATGAAAAATATATTTATTTATATGTCCTTAGAACTCTATGAAAGAAGCTCTTGGTAAACTCTTCGTTGATGTGATTGAAATTATTTTTTTAATTCAAATATGTCATCATAAATATAAGATATTATTTTATATTACCAACAACATTATTATATTCTGTTGACATTTACTCTGTATATTGTTTTTAATAAATTTTTTATTTGACTTTTGATTCTTTTTCCTTATAAAACATCTTGAAGTTCTGTTGACCAAATCACAGAGGAACAGCAAGGGATAACGGTGGTTGATTAGGTCTCTTTACCTTCGTGGCAAAAAATAGTACTGGATCTGCATGACGCCATGCAGAGATCAGTAAGGCCAGGTAAGCGTTCGTAAGCTGTGATACCATTTATCATAGAAGGCGAGCAAGGTAATTGGTGGAAGCTTACAGTTTCTTGTCAAAAGACTTAATTAATTAATGGAACTTGGAGCCCCCTTCATCATGAGATCACAAAGGTGTATATATATGTATAATATATAAGATAGAACAAGTGAAAATTAAAGAGTTAAGCCGACTTGCAGTACTATATATATTTGATTTGCACTAGACCTAAGTTGAGCTCATTCAAAATCAGATAAAAATAAAAATAAAAAAAATAGTGGCATGAATATATTTGAAGTTTTGTTTAAGATAGCTTTCTTACTGCTTTCTAAAAGGACTATCTAGTACAAAAATGGCTAATTTAAGACCTGTTTGTACTAGAAACATGTTTTAGAAAGCACGAAAAAATCTGTCACAATCGAAGCCTTAGTTTATGTGTGAATGTGTTTGTTGAGATGCATGTTACTTGTGGAGTTTTTAGGCCTTTTGTCTGAGTTTGTTGAGATGCATGTAACTTGTGGAAATTTTTGTTTGATTGGTCCATCCGTTGAGCAAATCTAGGAGGAGACTGATTGGGCTGACCCAACTCACATGAGTAAAGAGAAGTCTTTGGGCCTTTTGTCTTCCCCACTTCCTCTTAAGGGTGATCCTATCGTCCATCCTAAGAAATTGTATTGAGAGAGATGCTAGAGTGGGGAGATATCTCATCTCTCACCCACACAATCTTAATTATTAGTGGCTTTAAGGTGCAAGAGTAACGACTTTCCCTCCATTAGATTACTTTATGATTGTTGGAGTAAATGCCATACATATACATGCACTTTATAATAACCTCGTTTCATGCATGATCAACACAACCACAACAAATATTGACGTGTTTTTGATCATTTATTGAGTCTTTTTCAAAACTCACTTCATTTATATGTATAATTGGCTAGTATGATATATTATCTCAAATGTATACCACAATATAATTCAAACAGTTTTATATTCTATACAATTGTGGATATGATCTCATGAATAATGCATATGATTATGTGTGTCAATTGTTGTCGGTGTGGTAGACTATGATGAGCTGATGAATACAGATATTTACAATTGAACTTTCTTTATTCATCTGGTAACTGATTGCAAATATTTTTGTCATATTGTCACAAAATTGGCACATTATTATACTTATTTTAAATAAATTTAGTATTACTTCCAAAAATACCTCTCATCTTCTTAAGTAATAATTTCCAATCATTTATCTCATCCCATTCACTAGAGAATTATAGAGAGTGAAATATATAGAGAAAAGAGAGTTAGAGAAGAAAACAAAGAAGAATTTAACAGCAAGGACGTTGATTTAGGAATCAGAGTAGTTGAGGAAATCAATCCCCTTGAGGTAGAATATCGTTTTCCAACATTGAAAATCAATAAGTCCCATTCAAATGTGTATTTTTCAAGTATTCTTCTTTATCTATACTATGAAATGTGGGTTTTAAAGATTTTTTAATAGATTTCTCCATAAAATTTTTGATGATTTGCCTTTTTTTATTCCTGTATATGAAATGTTCATAGTTTAATACTAGATTTTGGTTAAGTGTAAAGATATTGTGTTTGCATTCCTACAATGTTTCATGATATATAGGAGGTTTTTTATTATATGTAAGAATGTGAATGAGAGGATGTCATGATGCATAATGATCATATATATTATCTAATGTTCCACATGTAACATATAACATGTATTATACACAACATTTGCTTGTTGTCAAATCCAAGATTGGGTTTAATTTGTTTTTATTGTGCTTGAATGCACTTAATAATGAAACACACACCAACATATGCATTTTCACAATAATGACGTGGAATTTTATTAATATTTATATACATTATAATGCACTGCTTATTATTAATGAATATTATTGGTTGTCATTTGTTATTATATTTTAATTTTATATTATCAACACTACATAATGTGTCATATGATGTGTATGAGCTATTATAAAGATTACCTATGTATAACAAAAGTTGTTTGACTATGAGGGTGTTAATGTTGGCTCAAATCTATATTTTTTCTTAATAAATCTTTATTATGACCCATATCAATTTTCTGTATCTTAACAAGCTGATAGCATTTGCCAATTTAAATTGAGTTGTCATTATATTTATGGTAAGTTAAACCATTACTTTTATCTGTGTCCAGACACAAAGAGAACAAAATTGGTTATTTAAGATCATTGCTTAGCGGGAAATCATGCCTTAAAAAATGTACTTAAAAGCAAAACATATGATTAAGATAAAGTTGCTTAAATATTAGAGAAAAATATATAATTCCTTAAAGAACCTTGTGATCAATAATAGTTGTTGACCAATCTTATCATGTGAAAGATTTATAGCAAAAAAAAAAAATTATTGCAATTAAACTAAAGCAAAGTACATAGTAAATATTTAATTAGATTATGTGCAGCTAGGTTTCTGCAATACAACTCAAGGTGATAAAATATCAAAATATGTACTCAAATCTTAAGTCTATATATAAATAAAGTTTGTATGTGGATCTTCAACTTCCTCCACATGTAGATTTTTGAACATCTTGATATTGACTTTCATAATTGTGCATTAATTATGCATGAATTCTTCTCCATGCTTTTGTTATAAAAGGTACATCAATAAAGCTAAAGCATTGAGAAGAATTCATCTATAAT